GAACGACACCGACAACGACGACGGACGACGTCAGACGACGACTACGACGACGACGGAAGGCGCAGCCGACAACGACGACGACTACTCACGACGACGACGACGACGACGACCCACGACGTCGACAGACGACGGCGATGACGGGCAACGACGACGGCGACGACGACGACGGACGACGAAGCCGACGACGGACGGCGACGGACGACGACGACGACATTAGTTGACGGCGACGACGACGACGACAACGTCAAAGACGACGAAACCAACGACGACGACGACGACGACGACGTGACAACGGCGGCGGCGGCGGCGACGACGACGACGACGGACGGCGATGGATGACGACGACGACGACGACGACGACGACGACGACGAGGGCAGCCGCGACCGCGACAACGACGACGACGAAGACGACGACGACGACAGCGGACGGCGACGTTGACGACGACGACGACGACAGCAACGTCGAAGCCGACGATGACAACGACGAGGGCGGCCGCGACCGCGACGACGACAGACAGACAGACAGACAGACAGACAGTCAGAGAGATTGACAGACAGACAGGCAGGCACACAGATGGACAGACAAACAGCAACGACGACGACGACGGACGGCGACGGACGACGACGGCGACGACGACAACGACGACGACGGTTGACGACGATGACGATGACGACGACGACAACGACGACGACAATGACGACGACGACGACCAACGACGAATCCGACGACGAATCCGACCACGACGAAACGACGACAGACGACAGGCGACGACGACGACGACGACGACGGCGACAGACGACGACGACGACGACGAGGGCGGCTGCGACCGCGACGACGACGGTATGGATATCCTGTCCTCCTCTGAAACTGCTCCCTGCGCCCGAACCCTCCCGCCCGACGAGCGTGCACATCACCACGGTGCCGAACCTCATCGCCGTGTTCAGGTGCGCAGGCATCGGGGCGTTCGGCGGGTAGCCCGACTCCACGCCTGGCCGCCGCCGCGGCAGCGCGCTCAGGCCCCCTCGCGAGGCGAACGCAAGTCAAAATGGACAATGTTTGGCCATCCTCGGCCTCTGGGGGCCCTCGGCGGGCCCGTGGCCCCTCAATAAACGACCAGGGATGAAAAGCCAGCTGTGGGGGGCTGGGTAGGGACTGCCGGGGACCCCGTGCTGAAAAAAACAAAGCATCGGATGTCTGGAAACGCAAGACGGGGTGATGGGGACCTGACCGAAGCGGTCGGCGACAGGTAGAAGATCGGGGGGGAAGGGACGGGGCGGACGACCCCCTCGACCATTTCCTCGTCCACTCTACCTGAACATAGACACGAACCTAGGTGCAAAAGGTGCAACCGACCTGACCTAAATAGGTAAACTGCTGCTGCAGCCAGCAATGTAGTTTCATCAGGGTACCACCAATTTCCCGGGCGCCCTTGGCGCTCCAGGGGTGTTCCGCATGACCTCCAGGACGGCTGCAACGCCCCAAACGACCCGCTGACTTTCGCGGAACTCCCCAACGAGCGCCAAAAACGGTCGAGCCGCGCCTGTGGACGGCCCACGATGGCACCAAGAAGGTCCAAGAGACCTCCAAGACGCCCCAAGAGGCCTCCAAGACGCCTCCCAAGAGGGCCCCAAGAGTCAAAAATCGTAGTTTGCCATTGGCTGTTGAAGGTTTTTGGGATACTCGTGTTTTCAGTTTCCCGACGCTCCAAGACGGCCCCAGAGGCCCACAAGACGACCCACAGAGCCTCCAAGACGGCCCCAAGACAACCAAACAGAGCCCCAAAACGCTCCGAAAGGCATCCGAGACGGCATAGAAGGCCCCTGCAACGGGTCCCACACGGGGCCCAGGCAGGGCCCTCCAGCGGAAATTTCGAGCCCGCGGCCCAAAGAAACCACCAGAAAGCCCCAAGAGGCCCAAAGAGATCCCCAAGAGGCCACCAGAGGCCCCCAAGAGGCTCCCCAAGAGGGCGAACATCCCAACGAACAACCTAGAAGCCTATGACCCACAACCTATGCACGGTGGCGGGATGGGCCGAAGGCCATTCGCATCGGAAAACCCACTCCCCGCTCTGGCCGACACCTGACGATGATGATGATGATGATGATGATGATGATGATGATGATGATGATGATGATGATGACGATGACGATGACGATGACGATGATGATGATGATGATGATGATGATGATGATGATGAGGATGAGGATGAGGATGAGGATGATGATGATAATGATAATGGTAATGATGATGATGATGATGATGATGATGATGATGATGATGATGATGATGAGGATGATGATGAGGATGAGGATGAGATGATGAGGATGAGGATGAGGATGAGGATGAGGATGAGGATGAGGATGAGGATGAGGATGATGATGATGATGATGATGATGATGATGATGATGATGATGATGATGATGATGATGATGATGATGATGATGATGATGGGTATAGAACCCAGGGGGGGTAGTCTACCCTAGGCCCTACCCAAGGGCCTAGGGTAGCCTAGGGTAGGCCCTACCCAAGGCCCTAGGGTAGTCTACCCTAGGCCCTACCCAAGGCCCTAGGGTGGCCTAGGGTAGGCCCTACCCAAGGCCCTAGGGTAGACCTAGGGTAGGCCTTACCCAATGACCTAAGGTAGACCTAAGCATATAGAGCCCGGAGGGTAGGCCTACCCTAGGCTTACCCCTAGGCCTACCCCCTAGGCCTACCCTAGGCCTACCCCCTACCCTACCCCCTAGGCCTGCCCTAGGCCTACCCCGTAGGCCTACCCCCTAGGTCTACCCTAGGCCTACCCCCTAGGCCTACCCCCTAGGCCTACCCTAGGCCTACCCCCTAGGCCTACCCCCTAGCCCTACCCTAGGCCTACCCCTAAGCCTACCCACCCCTAAGCCTACCCCCTAGGCCTACCCCTATAGGCCTGCCCGCCCGCCGGATCGAGCAGACGGACCAGAACGGATCGGGTAGGATCGGGCAGGCATTAAAGTGTGGAGCATGTTCGCACTAGCACGCGTGAACCCTAACGGGCGGGTCGGGTCGGGTCGGGCGGACCCTAACGGGCGGGCCGGGTCGGGCGGGCGGGACATTAAAGTATGGTGCGTGTACACTTGACACGCGTGAACCCTCACGGGCGGGTCAGGTCGGGTCGGGCGGGCGGACCCTAACGGGCGGGTCGGGTCGGGTCGGGCGGACCCTAACGGGTCGGGTCGGGTCGGGTCGGGTCGGGCGGGCGGACCCTAACGGGCGGGCCGGGTCGGGTCGGGCGGACCCTAACGGGCGGGTCGGGTGGGGCGGGCGGGACATTGAAGTATGGTGCGTGTGCACTTGACACGCGTGAACCCTAACGGGCGGGTCGGGTCGGGTCGGGCGGGCGGACCCTAACGGCGGGTCGGGTGGGGTCCCTAACGGGCGGGTCGGGTCGGGCGGGCGGGACATTAAAGTATGGTGCGTGTGCACTTGACACGCGTGAACCCTAACAAGCGGGTCGGGTCGGGTCGGGCGGGCGGACCCTAACGGGCGGGTCGGGCGGGTCGGGCGGACCCTAACGGGCGGGTCGGGTCGGGCGGGCGGGACATTAAAGTATGGTGCGTGTACACTTGACACGCGTGAACCCTAACGGGCGGGTCGGGTCGGGTCGGGCGGCGACCCTAACGGGCGGGCCGGGTCGGGTCGGGCGGACCCTAACGGGCGGTCGGGTCGGGCGGGCGCGTGTACACTTGACGCGCGTGAACCCTAACGGGCGGGTCGGGTCGGGTCGGGCGGGCGGACCCTCGGGTCGGGCGGGCGGAACCGGGATGGGCCGGGTCGGGTCGGGCGGACCCTAACGGGCGGGTCGGGTCGGGTCGGGCGGGCGGGACATTAAAGTATGGCGCGTGTACACTTGACACGCGTGAACCCTAACGGGCGGGTCGGGTCGGGCGGGCGGACCCTAACGGGCGGGTCGGGTCGGGTCGGGCGGACCCTAACGGGCGGGTCGGGTCGGGCGGGCGGGCATTAAAGTATGGTGCGTGTGCACTTGACACGCGTGAACCCTACGGGCGGGTCGGGTCGGGTCGGGCGGGCGGACCCTAACGGGAGGTCGGGTCGGGTGGACCCTAACGGGCGGGTCGGGTCCGGCGGGCGGGACATTAAAGTATGGTGCGTGTGCACTTGACACGCGTGAACCCTAACGGGCGGGTCGGGTCGGGTCGGGCGGGCGGACCCTAACGGGCGGGTCGGGTCGGGTCGGGCGGACCCTAACGGGCGGGTCGGGTCGGGCGGGCGGGACATTAAAGTATGGTGCGTGTACACTTGACACGCGTGAACCCTAACGGGCGGGTCGGGTCGGGTCGGGCGGACCCTAACGGGGGGGGTCGGGTCGGGTCGGGCGGACCCTAACGGGCGTCGGGTCGGGCGGGCGGGACATTAAAGTATGGTGCGTGTGCACTTGAACGCGTGAACCCTAACGGGCGGGTCGGGTCGGGCGGGCGGACCCTAACGGGGGTCGGGTCGGTCGGGCGACCCTAACGGGCGGTCGGGTCGGGCGGGCGGGACATTAAAGTATGGTGCGTGTACACTTGACACGCGTGAACCCTAACGGGCGGGTCGGGTCGGGTCGGGCGGGCGGACCCTAACGGGCGGGTCGGGTCGGGTCGGGCGGACCCTAACGGGCGGGTCGCGTCGGGCGGGCGGGACATTGAAGTATGGTGCGTGTACACTTGACACGCGTGAACCCTCACGGGCGGGTCGGGTCGGGTCGGGCGGGCGGACCCTAACGGGCGGGTCGGGTCGGGCGGACCCTAACGGGCGGGTCGGGTCGGGTCGGGCGGACCCTAACGGGCGGGTCGGGTCGGGCGGGCGGGACATTCAAGTATGGTGCGTGTGCACTTGACACGCGTGAACCCTAACGGGCGGGTAGGCCTCGGGTAGGCCTAGGGGGTAGGCCTAGGGGGTAGGCCTAGGGGGTAGGCCTAGGGTAGGCCTAGGGGGTAGGCCTAGGGGGTAGGCCTAGGGGTAGGCCTAGGGTAGGCCTAGGGGGTAGGCCTAGGGGGTAGGCCTAGGGTAGGCCTAGGGGGTAGGGGGTAGGCCTAGGGTAGGCCTAGGGGGTAGGCCTAGGGGTAGGCCTAGGGTAGGCCTAGGGGTAGGCCTAGGGGCCTAGGGGGTAGGCCTAGGGTAGGCCTAGGGGGTAGGCCTAGGGTAGGCCTAGGGGGTAGGCCTATGGGTAGGCCTAGGGTAGGCCTACCCCCCGGGTTCTATATGTGATGATGATGATGATGATGATGCTGATGCCGATGCTGATGATGATGACGATGATGATGATGATGATGATGATGCTGATGCTGATGATGCTGATGCTAATGCTGATGGTGATGGGTGATGATGATGATGATGATGATGATGATGGTGATGGTGATGGTGATGGTGATGGTGATGGTGATGGTGATGATGATGATGATGATGATGATGATGATGATGATGATGATGATGATGATGGTGGTGGTGGTGATGATGATGATGATGATGCTGGTGATGCGGATGATAATGTTGATGACGATGATGCTGATGATGGTGATGATGCTGACGATGCTGACGATGATGCTGATGATGATGATGATGATGATGATGATGATGATGATGATGATGATGGAAGGATTTTTCCGCAACGGACAGGTGTTAATGATAAGATGAAACCGTTAGTGGAGCAGTGGAGCAAGCAACTCAGCAACACATCGGCAAGCGAATTAAAGACCGTGGGTCAGCACTCGCCATCAAAGTCAAAGTCCACTGCGCGAGATACTGTCCAGGCAAAGAAGGGCGGGGAGACGGGGTGCGATACCCAAGTAAGCTAGCGACCGCACCCGAGGAAGCCCTTGCAGCCCCATGTGGCCGAGGAGGGGTCGGGGTGGGGTGGCAGTCCGACTGTCTCATCGAAACCCTGCGGCGCGCAAGAAGAAACAAAAACACTCGGTGACTCCGCAAATCCCTACAAGCGCCTGGTCGCCAGCG